ACACTTCTGTTGGTATTCCATCAATTCCTAGAACCTTATTTTTTGCTATTGCTTTTAGTGCAGCTTGTATATCTTCCTTCAGTATCATTGGTTCTTAATCTTATGCAACCTCCTGAAGAGACAGAGCATTGACCAGTTCTTTTTGGTACATTGAGTATATATTTCTTAGATCTTCTTTTGATACTTTCTATGACAGTCAATACTTTTCTATAGAATCCTTCAGTTTTACAACTTGAGGCTTGAGTGATTTTTTTCACCACAGTTCTTTCAGCTGTAGAAATGTTGAGCAAGTTCTTCCCATTTTATTTTCTACAAGTCTTTGCATATTATACTTTATGTTCTTGAACTATTTGTTATCTTCTGTTTAGTGTTCTTAAATCATAATCCCTTCCTTTGGCTTTATTTTCTCTCTGTTGAAGAACAAGCTTCACAGTTTCTTCTGACATTCATTTTTGGTTTGTTGTTTTTTTTTCTTTCTTTGTGGCCTTTCTTTTAGTGACCCTTTGTTTTCTTTAAATATAATGTCCTTTATGTTATCCCACAACTAATCTGATCATTGTTGCCTAGTGTGTGGTGTTCAGTTCATCAAATCTGTTCTTGAGATGCTTTCTAAATTCAGGTGGATTATATTCAAAGCCATATTTTGATTCTTGGGAACTTGTTTTCATCTAGTGATTTTAATAACCACGGGGGGAAAAAAACAACTGAATTCTTATCTGGACCAAAGGAGAAAGGAATTCAAACAGTAAATGACTGTTGTATGAACCTTGAAACTTTTTAATAATATTTTTTATTTTATTTGTGATTTTATTAAAGTTTAGAGAAGGTGAATTTTCGTTCATTCATTGTTGGACTTTTTCTCTCACTCACCCTCCCTTTCCCCTTCCCCAGTTCACTTTCAGACAAAATGTCATTTTACAATGTTTTTGTATTAAACATGTATTCTTGTTTGTGTTATTAAAGACATGTTTAATAACAATTAATTGTTTAAATATTATTAAATATGCACACTAGTCAGAAAAGTATGATTAGTATGTCTCAGAACAATAAATTTTATTCTTTACAATGTCATTTCCACTTTACTGGAAAAGTAGTAAATAAAACTTTCAACAGCTCTCTTGTACAGAAAACTTAGCAACAGATTTGTGCTACTACTGTTGTTGTTTTTGTCATTGTTAATATGACCCATAGTAACCCTGTGAATAACAGATCTGAACACTCTCCTATCCTTTGCTAACCTCACAATCTCTGACACCCTCAAGTTCTGCGGTCACTGTGTCAGTCCACGTGGTTGAGGGTCTTCCTCTCTTTTGTTGACTCCCCACTTTTCCAAATATGATATTACTCTCTAACGAAGAGCTTCTTCTAGTAACATGCCCAGCATATGTGAGATGGGGCTTTATTATCTTTGCCTCCAAGGAGCACTGTACCTACACCTTCTCCAAGACATATCTGTTTGGTCTTTTGACAGTCCATGGGATGTTCAGTATTATTCTCCAACACCACAGCTCAAAGGCATCACTTCTCCTGTTATCCTTATTCATTGTCCAATTCACAATAGCATAGCAAGTGGTTGAAGAGCTTTTGGCTTGCATCAGGCCTACCTTAGCCCTCAAACAGCTTCTTAATAATTTTGTTTCAAATTTTTGTTAAAAAATTTTACTAGTTTACTTACAGAGTTCATCAAGTCTGTATATATTATTTTGAGAGGTCCATGACTGCAGACATATCCAGTGCAATACGTATCCCAATCTTATAACTCTTGATTCCAAAGGTGTTGATTGTGGAGCCAGGATGCAGTGGTTGACAGTTTTAGACTTTTCTCCATCTATAATGATGTTGTCTACTCTACTGGTGCTGTGGTGAGAATTTTTGTTTTCTTGATGTTGAGATGCAATTCATATCAAGTCCTCCTCTCTTTCAGCAGGCGTGGCTATGTCATATGCATGGCATAGGTTATTGGTGAGTCTTCCTCCTATCCTGATGGTACAACTACTAGAGGAATTTAACCATCCTACAGATTATATTGAATAGTTACAGAGGAAGAATATAACCCTGATGTGTATTTTTATTAATTTTAAATCATGTAGTGTTCCCTTGCTCTGTTTGCATAATAGCCTCCTGGTTTAAGTGTAGATTTTGCATGAGCAAAGTATTCTCGGATTCTCAATCTTTTAAATATTAGCCATAGTTTCTATGACGAATCATTGTAATTAAATGTCTTTGCATAGTCAGTAAAGTGCAAATAGGCATTGTTCTGAAATTATTTGCTTTCAGCCAGGATCCATCTTACATTAGCAGTGATATCTCTGGTGCCATAGCCTCTTAAATGCAGCTTGAACTTCTCAAAGTTCACTGTCTATCTCTTGTTCTGTTTTTTGAATGCTCTTCAGTGATATATTGCTTTCATGTAATATTAATAGTATTTTTTCATAAATTCCACATTCTCTTGGATCACCTTTCTTGAGAATATGGCTCTCTTGCAGTTAGTCAGTTGGCCGGGCATCTAGCTATCCTCCAAATTTTCTGGCTTAGACTGATGCCACCTCCAAGACTGCATCTGTTGAAACATCTCAATTGGTTTCATGTCAATACCTGGGGCATTATTTTTTACCAATGCCTTCAGTGTAGCTTGAACTTCTTCCATCGTTACCACTGGCTCATGATCATATTATACTTTTTGAAGTGTTTCAGTATTGGCCAATTATTTTTGGTACAGTGATTCATTGTATTCCCTCCATCTTCTTTTGATGTTTCCTGGATCATTTAATATTTGCCCATAGCATCTCTTAGTTTTGCAACTTGTGGAATGACATTCAAAGGTTTCATCCATGAAGAAAGCAAAAAGTTATTGCAAGGACAGAGAAGAAAGAAAAAAACCAAAATGGATGTCAGAAGAGACTATGAAAATTACATTAGAGTGTTGAGAAGCCAAAACAAAGGAAGAGGTGCTGAAATAAAAGACCTGAACAGATTTCAAAGGGTAGCTTAAAAGAAAAAGCAGTGTATTAGAATGTGCAGAGAGCTGGAATTGGACAGGACAAAGGGTAGCATTTGCTCAGCATTTGTCAAGCTGAAGAAACTGAAAAATAAATTCAAGCCCTAAGTTTCAATGCTGAAAGATGCTATGTTGTTGTTATTATGTGCCTTAAGTCACCTGTGACTCATAATGACCCTATGTACAACAGCCCTAAATCCTGCTGTATCCCTTGCTCAATTCTATGCCATTTTTATTGTGTTTGATACACCCACTCCATTACCCTAGTCACCGAATCAATACATCTCTTTGAAGGTCTTCCTCTCTTGCTCTGTCCTTCTACCCTCCCAAGCATGACTTCCCTTTCCAAGGACTGGAAACATGTTCAAAGTATGTCAGATGAAGCTTCAGAATCCTTACCTCCAAGGAGCAGCCTGGTCTTACCCTCTCATTAGTACAGATGATCTTGCAACTCAGGAACTAGTTCAATAACAGCAAGTTTACAATGAGTCTATTATGCAACTCTCAAAGTTTTGGCTTAGTATGAGATCTATAACACTAAGAAAGAAAAAGAAGCTCTGGTGTTGCTGTGGTTAATATTGGTGGCTAATTGGAAGCTGGCAGTTTATGTCAACCAGCCACTACTCAGGTTCAAAGACCTAGTGTGATGGGTTTTTATAAATGTTGTAGCATAGGAAACACTATAAGCAGTTCTAATGTTCTATATTTGGGTCACTGTGAGATGGAATTCACTTAATGTCACACTAAAGGACAGAATTTTCTTTAAGTCCTACTTTTTTCTTTATTTTCTTTAATAATGTTTTAGATTGCATGTAGATTCTGTCAAATAAATTTAAGAGTTTTACATAGAGAGGATAATCACCTTAAATCATTTTCTAAAAGTTGGCCTACTCCCTAGTTTCTGTTTAGTATGAATAAGATAAGATAAAATGAGGTAATCTGTATTTTGTGTGATAATTCTGGTGATAAGTGAAATTTGAGAGCCACCTGTGTAGATGATGCTATGTCATTTTAGATAAAATAAATTTCAAATAGATTTTAATCAATAAATATTAGTCATAAATCTTCCATTTTATAGTCAAATTCATGTATTTCAGAGTACTTTAAATTCCTAACTTACTACCCAATATAAAATGTTCCTGAAATGTGTACTTATGCAATTGATAAAGTGACTTAATTAGTAAACCAATTAAAATTTTTGGTATGAATACTGAAAATGATGACTTTCTGTAGTTTGTATTCTGAGATAATATTTCTTCTCAACATTGATTACATTTACATACAAACAAAAATATTTTTCAGTAATTATATTTGCTCTGGAGAGCATTTACCTATTTTTCATCCTAAAAAAACCCCAACCCTCTATAAAGCACACTTATATGCATTCTTAGAGGTACTTTCATTTGTAATTTTTGTGTGTGTGTGTGTGTGAGTGTACCGTCAAATCAGATCTGACTGGTACAGGAGGAGATTGCCCCTCCTTTTCCCGGCAGAGCATCTGGTGGATTCGAACCATTTGCCTCTGGGATTGTAGTTGCAGCTCCTTTCCACTAGGCCACCAGAGCTCCCCTCATTTGTGATTTTTAAAATAACAGTATGAAGTATGATACTCAGAGATAAGTGTGTCACATATTCCTTAGCTACACAGCAACTCATTGCCAGTGAGTCAAAATCTACTCAGCACACTCTCCAGTGGATTTTTAGAGGCTGTGAATCGTACTGGAGGAGCCTGACCATCTTTAGCCAAGGAGCAGCTGGTGGATTCTAACTGCCTGTCTTTGGGTTGGCAGTACAGTTTCTTACCCAATAGACCAGAACTCCAGTAGCCCCAAATTAATTGTAAATGAAATTTTAACATATCTATTAAACCTTTGCTTAAAGTAGAAAAACAAGTTTGTGGGGAGTGTACGTGTGTGTGTTTATGTGATTCCAGTATTAATACTTGTAACAGCAGCTGATATCTTGAGTAAATGTCTTGTTTTACTTTCTATTGTTTTTACAGGCATTGCTTCTATGACGGTACCAGTGTACATCGCTGAAGTTTCACCCCCCAATTTGAGAGGCAGATTAGTCACCATTAATACGCTCTTTATCACTGGAGGACAGTTCTTTGCAAGTGTTGTTGATGGAGCCTTCAGTTATCTACAAAAGGATGGATGGAGGTCTGTAAGCTATCCCTGAACTTACTTTTTCAATTAAAGCATGATTTTATTGGTGTTGGGTTCTGTCAAGTTGGCACCAATTCATAGCCCATCCTCCAGCAGTTTTTCAGAAGCTGTAAGTCATATAGGAAGAAATTTCCCATTTTTCTTCCACTGAGCAGCTGGTAGATTCAAATTCCTTCCCTTTGTGTTTACCGTATGATTTTAGGGGAAGGTAAAATTGATAAAAATAAACTGCCAGCTGTTTGGAGTAATTTTTGTTGTTAAGTGCCATTGAGTCATATACAACTCTTAATGACCCTATGAGCAAAAGACCTGAACACTTGTATAAATTTCATCATTTCTCCAAGCTCATAGGGTTTCCAGAGGCAAGCTGTTTTGGAATTGGATGCCACTCCTGCTTCCAAGCTTGTTTTAATTGGGGAGCTCCACCAAACACTGTCCACCATAGGTAACCATTATCACATTTGACACATCAGTGTCCTAGTGTTTAGCATCACAGCAACCACGAGTTACCTCTGTACAGCAAATGGAAAGACCAGTGCTGTAACACTTTGAAGAATGTTTGACCAAAAACAATTAAACCAGACTTGAGGGCAGCAGGCCTGAAGGCCCAAAACCCTTTTTTAAATATGAGAGCCAAATAAAATCAACTCACACACAATGGTGAGTAAACATCCCACCCTAACCTTTACCAGAACCAGAAAACAAATCTCTGTAGAATTCTGCTGCTCCAGACAACTTCCCAATCTTAATTCAAGCCCCATCAGCTCACACCCCATTGTGAGTAAACATTCTACCCTCATCCTTACCAGGACCAGAAAACAAACCTCTGTAGAATCCAGCTGCTCCAGATGACTTTCCAAACTGGATTCCATTTGGAATCATTATGGTTAATATAAGTCATTGGAACAGAGCAAAGTTGAAAGTGGATATGAAGCTATTTATTTTCGTGGTAGACAAGGAACTTACTATTAGGAATAGATATTCACGAGATTTTTTTATTTTTTTTTAGCATTTAGGTGACATTTCTCATACTGTGTGTAATCTTAGCAATATTTGTTTAAAAATGAATGCGATAATAAATATGCATGGGGTTCTTGAATTATATCAGTGATTGACAAGCTGTTTATGAACTACAGATAAAGCCTGTTTGGATTTAGGGAGCTACATTTTGATCTGAAAGAAATGCAGTCTTTTAAGATACAGATTTTGCTTGATAAAATATACTAGGAAAAGATATTAGAAATAGAAATTAAAATATTGTTATTTGATAATTATTACTTATCTTTATAAAAAGAAATAAGGAAAATGATTTTAAAATATAAATAAATTTTGGATGGATGATTTAAGAGCAAAATAATGCTTTAGTGAAAGTTAAAGATAATTATAAACTCAGATTTTTATATCTAACTTTATTCAAAACACTAGATTTAAGAAGGAACAATGTAAGTTTTATTTAAAGACATTACACATTACATATATTCTTTAACTTGTATTCTTACCACTGTTTCTGGTGTCTGTTTTGACACTCATGCAGGTATAGGGATAGACTGTTGCACTCAAATCTTGACTTGCTTGGGGGCTTTACCCATGCTGACATTAATCCTAGCACCCAAAGAAAAGGTGCGCCGTGTGACATGGATGTGGAGAATTATACTTCTTTAAAAGAAAGATTATAAGCCCTTGGGTGTATGATGATCCGCAAAAGAAATAAATGTAAAGTTTTGTTAAAAGTAATTTCAGAAAACTCAGTGAAGTCAGATCTCCCTTTGTCAGGATTACAAAAAGGAGGACATAGTTGAGTAAAGCAAGCTTTCTAACTGTGGATGTTGTCAAAGCTACTTCAGCTCTTTCAAGGAATCTCTGCCAAAAAAAAAAAAAATTATTGAAGAAGGAAATCCTTGAATAATTCTTTTTCACCCTTTTGTATGAATAAGAAAAGTGTTCTGGTTGTACAGTGGTTAAGCATTCGGCTGCTGACTTAAAGGTATGCAGTTCAAATGTGCCAACTGCTCTGGAGGAAAATCATTTGATAGTCTACTCTTGTAATGAGAACAGACTTGGAAAACCCTTGGGAAAATTCTACTCTGTCTTACTGAGTTACTTTGATCAACTCAGAATCTACTGGATGGCAATGGGTTTGTGAGCAGGAACTTGAAGGTAGTGATAATAACCAGCTAGAATGTGCTGTTTATGAGTTCTTGGAAACTTAGTGTAAAGCTATTAGTCATTCAACTACAACTGGTTTAGAGGACCTGGATCACTTATTGTTCCAACTTGAGAGTAATGCATTTGAGTTTTATGAGAAGTCATTTACATTTTGTTAAAAATCATATATGAAATGAAATAGTATAAAAATATGTTC